CGTGGGAGCAGGGAAAGAGTGCAGATGGTTTTCGTCCTCTGTGTTCTACATGTGAGCAGCAAACTTGACCAAGCGAGGGGCCCCAAGAGGGAAGCCCCCTTCCCCCAAGAGTAGGCCCACACGGTGGACTCCAAGGTGCCAGCCTGCACAGTGCCCGCCCCTGCTGGCCAGGCTTCTTGCTTCACAGTTGTGTGTATTTTCTTTCCACTGCCAGGAGGTGCTGGCACTCGCTCCACCCACTCTGAGCCGCACATGATGGTCTTTTTTTCAGAGTAGTTCTGCCGCAAGAACTGTTCCTCTTTTGTGAGTTCCCCCTTCAGAGTGGCTCAGGCACTGCTGCTCCTGCTCAGTGAACCTGAACAGGCTTTGACCCATGGCCCCAGGTAGATTTCAGATGCTTTAGTGCTTACTTCTTGAGGAACCACACGTTTCACGTCACTAACATTGCCTGGTCTGCATGTAGCCTCCATATGGAGTCCGACAGTAAAACGGTGTGTCATCAGGGTTCCTCCATGTTATGGCAAGTTCCATAGCCATCCTTTTTTGTAGCCAAGTAATATTCCCCCATGGGAATGGACCATATTTGGTTTGTCCACTCTTCGGTTGATGAACATTGGGATTCTTTTCAAACTTTCTGACAAGGATGAGCAGTGCTGCTAGTGTTTGGAGTAATCACCCTGTTTCCCCCCCCCCCCCCCTTTCATTCAGTTTTTTTGTTTTCCCAGTGGTACTTAGGGCTCGCTTCAAGTTCTGTGCTCATGGCTCATGGGCCTGTGCAGACCCTTGAGGGAAGCACTGCACAGAACATTGTAGAACTAAGTAGAACAGAGTCTGTCAGCATTCCATACTAAAATAATTTCAGAAAAGAGTGCCCCCTCCACCCCCCATGGGTTTTTTGGACCACACCCTATAGTGATTAGGACTCCCAGCTCTCTGCTTGGGATCATTCCTGGTGGGGCTCAGGGGACTTGATGGGGTGCCAGGGATCGAACCTGTCCCAGGGATAACCACGTGCAAGGCAAGTGACCTGCCCACTGGACTCTTTCTCCATCCTCCCTCCAACCAGTTTTTCAAAACATCTGAGCCATTTTATATTTTCACCAGCACTGTTAGAACATTACTCTGTATCCTTGCCAACACTGTGTCATCCTGCCTTTGGCCTTATTTACTTCTTTGGGTTTTGGAGCTACTCCTGGCAGTGCTCAGGACTGATCCCTGCTGGTGCTTTGGGACCAGAGGCTGCATCGGGGTTGGAACCAGGGTCACTGCTGCTGCTGCTGCTGCTGCAGCCACCTGCTAGGCAAGTAGCTTCTCTCCCAAGCCCTTTCCCCAGCCCTGCACGGCCTTTTCATGACACACATGCAGGTAGGTGAAGCGGTATCCGACTGTGGTTTTGATTGGCAGTTTTCTGATCGGGAATGATCTTGAGCACCTTAAGTTGGCTTATTGACCATTCATATGTCTCCTCTAGCAAAGTGTATATTCAAATCCTTTACTCTTTTAAAAAACTCACTTGTCTTAATTCGGAGCTTTAAGAATTCCTTACACTTCCTGGGCCGGAGAGACAAGCCCCAGTGCCTGTGGCAGGTGGGCCTGGTAGGGACAAGGGAGGATGGAGTATGGGAACACTGGTGGGGGAAGTTGACATGGATGGAGGAAGTTGACACAGGAGGGAAGTTGATTAGTGTTGAAATATTCTATGGCCCAAACTCACGTATCAATAATTTTGTAAATCATGGCTCTTTAATTAACATTTAAAAAAAAAAAACCCAAGAGATTGCAGTTTCTTGGTCCACCAAGAAATTCGGTATTATCAGATGCTGCGAATCTCATTCCTTCCCCATTTCCCCCTGTTGATTCCTCAGCTAGAGCACTGCCCCCCCCCCCCCCCCCCCGGGGTTGAGTTGCCTGAGCTTGGGCCTGGAGAGGCCCGAACCCTGTGCCCGAGGGCCCATCTTCCCCAGTCTCACTGTCTCGTTGCCTGGTTTCAGGCCTGCGTCTGCAGCTCTCTCTGCCTTTGGGAATTTGGACACGGGTGAATTTCAAAAATTTTGAATTTCCTGGTTCAATCTGAGACCAGACACGATCACGATGACGGTCAGGATCATCCTGTTGTTCTTTGATTGCCTCGAGCAGGCACCAGTAAAGTCTCCCAGTAAAGTCTCCTTTAACCTAGCCCTGAGATTTTAAAAAGTGCCACATTCAAGGCTCTTTCAGGGTTAGGAGAATGAGACCCATCATTGTTACTGGTATTTGGCATATTGGGTACACCACGGGGAGTTTGCCAGACTCTGCCATGTGGGCAGGTTACATTCGGTAGCCTGCCAGGTTGTCCAGAGTAAGAATGAGATAATAAGATATCGCTTATGGAAGCTGGGTTTTATAGTCTCTGGGTCTTGGCCGTTGATGGGATTACACGGTGCCGGGGGTCGGGGGAGCAGTTGGTGGGTGTGACCCCTGCCTACTGGAAGATGGAGGATCTGGGTGGAGGATGCTCAGCCCTGATCTGAGCAGGCTTGGAGATCTGAGCCCTGTGACCTGCATTCCTGTGTTCCTCTGCCGGTTCCTTCATGCTTGTGGAGAGTGGTCTCAGCATGGTTGTGGCTGGTTCTGGAGGTCTGGAGACCAGACAATAGTAGGTTATCACATATAGTGATGTTAAAGTTTTAATTTTGTCAAGTGAGGACACTTGGCACTGTTCTTGCTATCAGAATGAAAACTCCATGAGATTTTCCTCTCAAGAGAGTACCCCCCAACACCCACCCCCATACCAAGCCAAACCACAGCAGAAACCTGCCCCTCCCCAACCCCAAGAAACCCAGGTTAAATAAATTCACCTTTTGGAAAAGTCAATAAATGGACCTATTTTTATTTTTCTACCTACCACTGAAAAAACACATTATGGCCTGTGGATTGATATTGGGGAGCCAGAGCTTACCAACTCAGCATAAATCTTTATTTGAAAAGTAGAACCTTCCCTCGATCGGGTGTTTTTCCATTGTGTCGCCCTGATAGCAATTTTAAACAAGTGCCTTCCTCACGTGGAATTAACCACTTCGGCTCCTCTCTGCTGGCATTTGAGAGATTCTCTAATAACACAGCTGAGAAGGAACTGTTTGAGGTATTTGTGAATCTAAATATGTGAATTGACCTTTAGAAGACCAAAGGAAATAAAAAAAAAGGGGGGGGGAGAGGATGGCCCCTGTTTACAAATGCTCTTCATCAATCCCGGATTATATATCTAGACAGGGAACTGCATAAATTTTTATTGATTGTCTCATCTAAATTAAAATGTCAAGTAGATATTAGGGTTTTATCATAAGGTAGTTATTGGCTGTCACATTGGCACATTCATTATAATAATTGGGCGGTAAAGAAGCCGTAGGAGTAGAGAATATGGTATAGCTTTTGATGAGATGTTAGTTATGGCCCCTTTATTTATGGTCATGAAATCTTGTTAACTGACACCACCACCAAGCTCTTTTGTTCTCCCTTTTCTCCTAAAGAGACTTATAAACCGGCTCTCCAGTTTATAAGTCTCTTTGGGGGGGGCTATAACCCGAGCCAAACCATCCACAGGCGAGGTCCCGTTCAACAGTTTCTCTGCACTTGTTCCCAGTGCATTTATTAAATTCACTCAGCAAATATTTGCTCATCACCGTTTGAAGGGATCTTCATAGAGATGTAAGACGCAGGGCCTCCACGGACAGGTGAATGAGGGAGGGAGCAGGCACCGCGTCTGAATATAAATAAACGTGCATCCCCCTGGCATCACGTCACAGACGTGAGCCACGTGCGGCAAGTTCCCTCAGAACGGGATAAATCATGGTTCTTCAGAGTGGGGTACATCCGAGGAGGAAAGAGCACTTTCTCTGCCTGGGTACCATTCACCGAAGGCTGTACGGCCCAGTGATGGAGGAATGACTCTGCCTTCAGGACACGGAGCTCTGTCCTGTCCCCCTACGTGCATCTCCATTCCAGCGCTGTAGCGAGAGGTAGCACGAAAGGTAGCGCTGTAGTACTGTCCTCCCGATGTTGTTCATCGATTTGCTCTTGCGGGCACCAGTAACCTCTCCATTGTGAGACTTGTTATTACTGTTTGGCACATTGAATACGCCACAGGGAGCTTGTCAGGCTCTGCCGTGCAGGCGGGATACTCTCGGTCGCTTGCTGGGTTCTCTGAGAGGGACGGAGGAGTCGAAACCGGGTCGACTGTGTGCAGGGCAGACCTACCCGCTGTGCTCTTGCTCCAGCCCATAGTGAGAGGTAAGGGGCTACGTGGGCTGACATGGAAATCCACTTTTGTTTTCTAGGCCCAGCTGCCTCGCAACCTCATTTTCTGTCCTTGAGTATATAAAATGGATGTAATGATATGTGGCCAGCATCTCTCGCTATGAAAGATGAGATAATGCGGGGGCCTAAGCTGCTCCCCACGGGGAAAGTCAGATTGCTGGCAGGTGTGTATTTTTTTCCCCCCAGCAAACTCAGGCCGTACATTTGCATGGGAGTCCAGGACCGCTTTACACAACCGAAAGGATTCGTGTCCTTAGCCAAGTGTCCAATTTATTTGCTAGGGAATCGCTTATTCTCCGTAACATCTGAACTGTTGTCTCAAAAAATTGCCCGGATTCCTCGGAGAGCCCGTCTGTGCGAATCCAGACAGGGTAGCCACTGAAACTGTGGTTACTGAAACATGGGAAAAGGCAAACAGATGTTTACCGAGCCTCCTGCTGGGCTCGAATCTTGGCCTTTGGTCTTGATAGAAACCCTTCAGTTATCGCAGCGTTTCGTCCCGGCGAAGAGGAAACCGAGGCTCATGCAGGCGTTTAGAAGTTGCTTTGGTCCTGGGACTGTTTCACTTCGGCTCTGTTGAAATCTCCATCAGCACCAGGTGCTGCTTCCACCTGGCTTTGCAGCTTTCCTTGCGGGCTGTGGCGGCCCATCTTGGCCTGTGCCTTTTCTCCGTCCCTGATTATCTGTCTGCTTCCTTCCTTCGCCAGGTTGCTTCTAGAACTGCTGGAGCTGCTGTTCGACAAATTCAACGCTGTGGCCGCGGCCCACTCTGTGGTCCTGGGGTACCTGCAGGCCGCCGTGGCGGCTGCCCCGACTCAGCAGGAGGACGTCAAGTTGTACGACATGGCAGATGTGTGGGTGAAGATCCAAGATGTTCTGCAGGTAAGTCCTTCTGCTGAGGGGGCCCCCTGCGTTCAGAGTGACAGGGGACAACAAGAACAGCACAAGCCTGCCTCTGCCCAGGTGATGCCTTTACTTGCAAACAGGACAAGAGAAGAAGGTTTCCATGGAAGGCACTGCCTGTGATGCCCTGCTCTTTAATTAACGTTTCGGAGACCTTTCCTTGAAAGCTGTCTTTTTCATTCTTCTTCTTCTTCTTCTTTTTTATATTTCCCCCTTTAGGACCATTCTTGGCACTCTCGGGTTCAGTAATGCTGTGGTCCACGCACTGCTGGGGTTCGAACCTATTTTCCTGTACCTGCCGGGGTTCGAATCTAGTTTCCTATACCTGCCAGGGAATCACTCTACCACATCATTCACTGTCTCTATACCCACCCCCGTACCCCAGCCCCTTCTAAAGGTCTTTAAACAGACAGACCTTTTCCAGGTTTTACAAGGACAAAGGACCAGAGTGATAGTACAAGCACCGACCCAGGTTCAATCCCCGGCATTCTGTATGGTCCCCAGAGCACTGCCAGGAGTCATCCATTAGTGCAGAGCAAGAAATAATCCCTGAGCACTGCTGGGTGTGGCCCATAAACAAACAAACCAAAAAAGGTTAAAAAAAGGGGGGGGATAGAGTTTCAGCTGGTAGTAGTCAAGGATGTACATTTAGGCTTTCTGTTATGTTAATTTCACTCATCAGTAAGCCCTTCAGTATTTACACATTCCTGTGTACTATATTGTAGCACTGGGCTGGAGCAATAGCACAGTGGGTAGGGTGTTTGCCTTGCACGCAGCCAACCAGGGTTTGATTCCTCCATCCCTCTCGGAGAGCCCGGCAAGCTACAGAGAGTATTCACCTACACGGCAGAGCCTGGCAAGCTGCCCGTGTCATATTTCATATGCCAAAAACAGTAACAACAAGTCTCACAATGGAGACGTTACTGGTGCCCGCCCGAGCAAATCGATGAACAACGGGAGGACAGTGCTACAGTGCTGTGTACTATATTTATACATTTGTCTGTAGCCTAATTGTATCACCATTTTCCTTTGGTTAACTTTTGAATATTTTAGAGTCAGTGGCAAATCAGGGCCCTATTTTGAGAGATGAAACAAAATTTGGGCTGGAGCGATAGCACAGTGGTAGGGCGGTTTGCCTTGCACACAGCCAACATGGCCGACCCAAGTTCGATTCCTCCACCCCTCTTGGAGAGCCCGGCAAGCTACCGAGAGTATCTCGCCCGCACGGTAGCTAGCCCTGGCAAGCTACCCGTGATGCATTCGATATGCCAAACACAGTAACAACAAAATCTCCAATGGAGACGTTACTGGGCCCGCTCGAGCAAATTGATGAACAACAGAAGGACTGTGACCGTGACTGTGAAACAAAATTTGTAAGTTTAAATGTATCACTGTGATTATATTGCAGAGATGGTATTTAGAGATTTTTATTATGCTTTCTCTCCATGTGTCAGGAAAATATATTTGATTTGTTCCGATGAAATTAGAAGTAAGATTAAGAGTTTGCTGAAGTAAATTTGCCATAGCTAAATAGAAGTTAGGGAATACCAATTGATGAAAAAATTAAGTATTTGTGGAGAATTGAAGAATATAGTTGTTGGAATGAAATTTCTTTCCTAGCAAATAGTCTTTGTATAGGGAAAAAATTACGATTGTACCTTGTCATTTTTGAGAGTACAGGCATGTTTGAGAGCATAAACATACAGAATTATATGTTTGATTTTTGGTTATTCATGAGATACATTTTGGGACTACAATGCTTTATTGATGAATGGTTCAGAAGGAAAAAATAAGAGGTTGCAGTTTCAGTTCCTGAGGGCTTTTATTTATTTATTTATTTATTTATTTAGCAGCCATGTCTATTATATTATCTAGGTAGATATGTGAGGCATTTGTATATTGAACAAAATATTTTTATGTTTTAGAAAGTGGTAACCTATCACTTTGCATCTTGGTTTGCTAATCTGTGGTAGAGATAGATTCTTTTGAGGTCACACATTTTTTTTTTTAAAGGGTGAAAAAGTTATTTTTATTTACACACATGATTTCCATTCTGTAAAAAATTAGAAAACTAAAGTTTAAACTCAAGTAGTAATCATTTATTTCTTCATTATCAGACTGCAGAAGATTCCTTTTTGCTTGGTTTGCAGGTGTAAAAGTTTGAAAATCGTCATTGTAGATTAGCAGGGAAGGCTTGCAGAAAATGAAGAACCATGTTTTCTTGTGTCTTTATTGTTCAAATTCCAATATCACTCGGAATCCCAGCTTTCAAAGCCTTTCCCAGGCAAAGGTTTGCTGTCCTTAGGAGATTTTGACCCTGGCAAACTTGTTCCAGAAACCTTAATTGGAGAAGAATGACTCAGTGGTAAGGCAGAAGGTCTGAAGACGTCCAGTTCATCCTCTGAGATGTGCACACCATGCTTGGGAGAGGTCTTCAAGTCTGCGACTGGCTCTTGGCGAAGCAGAATAATTTTGTTTTCCAACTCACTTCCAGAGAGATCCAATTTTCTTATTAAAGTCTCAGGCTGTTTCATCTCTGGTGATGCAATGACATAACCAAATGATGGTCTGTTCACATTGTGTCCACCATCAAGACAACCAAGAGCTTCAGATCTTTGAGCAAAGTACTCTCCTATAGATAGATGTGAAAAACTGGCATCCTCAGTGTCCATGTCTGATGTGCTAACTGATTTCCTCAACAGACTGGAATTGATTGAAGTTTCCCAGGACTTATCTCCTAGCACATGTGTGTTCTGAATATCTATATTTTCTTCCTGCATGAATTGATGCTCTTTGTTAAATTTTTCTTCATCACGTGCAATCAAATCCAAAGCTGCAACACCAGATAAAAAAATCCTCACTCATCTCATTAATTTAAATACTTAAATCTTGCTCATTATTGAAAGGTGTATGAGAGGCAAGATCTGTGGCCCATTCACCCCCTTCATTTTGATAGACCATGCTCTGGTTTTGTAGATCCGTTTCCTGGCATCTCAGGACACGCTTTGGCACGGGCTCAGCGTCTTAGTGTCTTACTTCCCAAGGCAGAGCTGATGTTCGAAAGAAAGGTTGCCTTCCAAACTCAATCACTTCCAAACAGTGACTGGGAATGAAAGTGTCATAAAAACAACCAAATCCCAAACAGCTGCGGTGGAAGGGGGTCCGTATCTGACTGCAAGTCTGACGTGAAGAGCAAAGGCGAGGGCGAGTGCTAGTGAACGGTCTCAGCTCACACTAGGAGTGGGACCAGAAGTCCGACCTGTGGCTTGGCGTTCCCATAGCAACCTGGGGTCCTGGTGGGGATGTTAGACCATGAGGAAGGGAGAAAAGACGTGGCCGGTCCCTAGCACCCCGCGACCCCACAGAGCCTGAGCGGCCCAAGCTCCGGGGTACAGGGCAGAGAGCAGACCACGCAAGGATCTCCCGGGCTCCCCGACCCCAGGCCCCAACGGGGTCCCTCAGGTTGGGCAGGAACCCCAGTTATGGAGAAGTGCAAGGATGCTCACCAGCGGTCACACATTTTTTTTAAAGGATGAACTAAGATAATAGAGTTAGAGGTATTTCAAAATAGTTAGAATCAGGGACTTCTGATTCTGCCATGATGAAGTGACACAGTGCATTGAAAGCTGAATGACTTAAGACAGAGAGAGAGAGAGAGAGCAGAGAATACAAAAGTTAGTCCACGTTCATCCTAACTTCCTCTTTGGGAACTGTTTCCAAACGATGGCACTGGGGAATTGAAGTCTAAACTGATAATGCAAGACTCTAAACAGGGGAAGCGGAGACTGGTGTTCAGGGATATGGAAGCAGCTGAAATTTTTGGTGTGGCATATGGAAAAAGAAGGACTCCCCTGGAGACAGTAGTTCAGAAATGTGAAGAGCATCATTGACCTTTGGGAAGACAAGAAATGGAGTATACAGGGCTTGGCAGAAGACAGCAGCTGTGGGACTGTGAACTGACTGGAGATTCCAGAAAATTCCAGATGCTCAGAAGTGTGGTGTTCAAGTCCCCCTCGTGCGGGGAGAACCATTGGGTACTCTGTGCTTTCAGGTGTGAGTTCCGGAAGACCGTGACGTGCTTTTAGCTATATAGACCTGCTCTTGATCTCCCATAACAAAGGCCTCGAGCAAGTCTCTGCAGCAGTAGCCTGACCTGTAAATTCACTCTTGCACAGTGAAGCAAAAGTGGCATAGCCTGGACCAACACCCATAGAGCATTGTGTAACTTTAAAACTTTATTTTAGAATATATTTCTTGGGGACGGAGTGATAGTACAGAGGGTAGGGCATTTGCCTTGCATGCAGCTGACCTGGGTTTGATCCCCAGCATCCCATAGGTCCCCTGAGGACCGTAAGGATTAATTCCTGAATACAGAGCCAGGAATAACCTCTGAGCATTGTCAGGTGTGACACAAAAAAGCCAAAAAAAAAAAAAGCCCCACATTTCATTATGACTTATTATCAATAAATTATTGATTCATACACCTACATTATATACACACTCAGGATTGTGCAAAAATTTCTCTGGTGAAAGGGACTTGTGAGTGGAAAAATATCTGATTTAGATTATCAGTAACAACACTCATAGTATAATTCTGTACTTGCGACAAAGCAGAAAAATTACTCATAAAGAGGATTTAAAAAAGTTGACAAATATGTCTGAAATAAAAAACTCAGCAGATGGATTTTCAGCAGATAATACAATTTTCATGTATTGTAGAAGAGAGGGCCACAGAACTTGCAGATAAATCACTTGTAAGTCTTTGAAAATGAAACACAGGATGAAAATAGGTAGAAAAGCATGGAAAATAATTATATATAATTGATGTAACTTTAAACTTTTTTTCTCCTTCACCTCTGCAATTTTATTTCCTTAGTGTTCCTTCTTGATAGTAATTCAGGATTCTTATGAAGTTGCTTGGGAAACGTTTCTATGATCTGACAAGACTGAATAACAATATTTTGAGTAACTTAATTTTT